GTTTGTTTTTTTTTTTTTTTTTTCAACTGTCTTGTTAATGAACTCTCAGTTCCTAGATGAAATCCTTCTATTTCAGAGAAACTGTCTGTGGGCGAAATTATCTTCTTAAAAAGTTTATTTCTTTGTGTGTGTGTGAGAGAGAGAGTGAGAAAGCACATATCCATGTGTGAGGTAGCACCCCAAACATGTTCGTGATAACTGCGATCCACACCAGCCTTGCATCATCAGGGATGCATTTGCCTTAGTATGCTCAGGGAGGTCTCTTGATGGGCACCTGGGACTGTCCCATGTGGGTCCATTGCAAAATGCTACATTTTACCACTGTGCCATCATTTGACCTCCCTAAAAGTATACTGTAATATGGGAGCAGGATGGAGGTGAGGTGCTCAGAAGGAAAATCCAAGAGCATACATAGCAGAGATGAAATTACTTTCTTGGTACTTGTGATGTATATTCTTCTGGACATTTGGAATAGTTATGAAATAAGTCTTTTGTCTTTTAATATAGAAATTTACCTGTCCTTAAGAAAAGATATCATCAAATACAAGTATTTTTGTTATGTCTACCTGTTTTTTTCAGTAGCTTTATGTTACTTCTCTAACAAGATTTGGAGAAGTTTGATTCCATTTTTTACTGGAAAATATGAAAGCAAAATTTATCATTTTTCATTTTCTATAGGAAACTTAACAGGCCAATCACTTTTATTTATTTATTTATTTATTTATTTATTTATTTATTTATTTATTTATTTTACACGCACGCACATGTGCCCGGCATGAGTTTAAACCAGGGCATCCAGGACTCAAGCCGTGATCAACTACATGGGAGTCTAGCAACATAACCATTATGCTAACTGCTGGTTCCTAGGCCAGACTTTGATATATCTTTTTTTTTTCTTTGATATATCTTGAGAACTACTAGATATTTTCTTTGCCATGGAGTCCAGAACTTGAACTGTGGTCGACCATGTGGGAGTCCAGCACCTTAAGTACTATACCACCTGCTGGCCCCTTTTTACATACTTTGTGCATATATATGAGTGGTGTGTTCCTGGCTGATTCAAACTTATAATTTTTTTCTGTTGGTTCTTTCAGTATAGGACTTTTTGGAAATAGTTTGTTTACCAACAGATTACCAGTCCACCAAGTCCTTTACTTAACTTCAATGTAAATTTTCTGTTCGTGAACTCCAGCGTTTGTTTTACTTGAGGGCAAGTTTTGAGGTAACATGGCTATTTGAGGCAATGTGATATTTCAAAGGATGACTGTCCCATCTTTCACTTTGGATACTAATGTACCCATATACATACCTGGGAAATCAATCTATCATTGTAGTTATCTTTCATTCCAGCTTTAATTTGAATCTAACTTTTCCATGTTGGGTTAATATATGTCTATGGCTTGTCTAAGTAAAGATTTACCATATATGTAACTTCCTGATTTGGAGTAATCCTTAAAGCAGGATTTGTCACCACTGTGACCTTTACACTATGGATATCCCTATTTTTTATTTAGTATGAGCAAATAGTCACTCATGCAATGTATACTGTCAGTGATAAATATGTTTGTAAAACTTAAAAAATTATTTTAATGATAACATTTTAAAAATTACCTCATTTATTAAATTTAGTATTTATGTATTATTTTCAGTGTCCTATACCAGGACTTTGGGCCTCTGAAGATCAAGTTAGGTACTGTTTAGGTGCTGAGGATAAGCAACGAACAAAATGAGAAATCTCTGTTAGCAGGTGCCATACAATTTAGTGGGTGAAAAATAAATAATAAATAGATATATAATATATTGGATAGTGATAAGTGCTGTAAAGAAAAATAAAGCATATAAGACAGAGCGAAGAGGATGGCCCAAGGCGCATTGGGCCAGATGGCCACTGGCAGGGGGCAGGCTGGCCCCCTAGAGGCCAAGCACATCTGCTGGGCTGCCTGTGGTAGGCCAAGAAGGGTGTTGATGGGGGAACCAGCAGGTGGTTCCTCATCGTGGGAAGAACATTTTCCTTAACATTTTGTGCTTTTATATTCATCTTGAAAACAAAATTAAAAATTCAGCACTTGGCAAAACCTCCATACTGTTTTTCATAATGGTTCTGCTAATCTGTGTTCTCACCAACAGTGAACAAGAGTTACCATTTTTTGAGTACGATCTCTTGTCTCTTAGAGTGGGTAGTCCTACTTCTTTTACCCAAGCCATTTTCCCTTTTCCTGAAAGGTGGAGATCTCTTCTCTACATATTACCTCCATGATTTAGAACAGAAAGTCTGCTTTTCTTTTCATTCCACCTCTCAAATTCAATGCAGAGAAACTCCTAGGATATAATTAACCTGCTGAGTTCTCTAGGAAGAAAGAAGCAGCTGAGATGGATCTTTTGTTGCTGCTGTTCCCTTCATTATAAAGAAATTATTTTGCAAGCTGAAGACTGATATTTTGTTGAAAGGTTACTTAGTTAGTAGTATTTGTGAATCCTTTACCTTTTTTCTCCCTGCAGACAAGAAGACTAAATAAATAAATATGGATGACTACAGGGCTTTTTGAAAATGTCTTTCATTTTCAGCCACTATCATGTTAAGCACAGTTGAGACTGCTATAGTAAATTGCAAATATACATTCTAATTTGAAATGAAAAAAATGCTAAAAAGTTACATATGTGTACATCTCTAAGCCCCAGGTCATCCTGTGATATAGATTTACTGAATAGGAACAAAGATCCGTGTTTTTTTTTTTTTTTTTTTTTTTTTTTTAAGAGAGTTTGTTTTTGCTATGGGGTGCGTGTGCTTGCCAGAGAGACAGAAAGTGAGAAATCATCCCTCAGGGAGGATGACCACGTCACAATCCCTTCTCCTCCGTTTTCCTCCTGGGATTTTAGGCACCCGCGTACCCCTGCCCGGCATGAACTTTAAGCTGCTGGGTCTGGGACTCGAATTGCGGTCAACTATGTGGGAGTCTAATGATGTAACTAACCATTATGCCATCTGCTGGTCCCACAAAGGGCCAGCTTTATAGTTAGACTTTTGAGGTGATAAAGAAGCATAAAGATATGACATCAAGGTTAATTTTATGCAAATAAAACAATAGTTTTTGTACAAATTCACATTTTTACATGTGTAAATTGCATTTATGGATGAGAAGAGAGATTTTTCTAAAGAGGAAGGCTGTTGACATCTTCCTCAGAAGTCTTTGGACATGAAAAGCATCAGATATTTTTCATTCTGCTATAGAAGGGCCAGATTGTGCAAGAGCTAACTTGCAAGTATGCATGGATTTAATGAAAGAGTGGGAAAAGCAAACAGAAGTGAGTCCAGTGCTTAAATCCTATTTACCTCTCTAGGATGAGAGGCTACTACATCTTTTTTCTTGCAGTCTCATTGTATCTTGAGTGTTATTTCCTCAAATAATTGTTTCATTTAACTAAATTTATTTATTTCAGTTTGATCAGAGAGGGACAGAATTGTGGGGGGGGGTGGGGAGCAAGAAAGCAAGCCACCAGGTCTGGGACTCAAACTGCTGCCTGGTATGTGGGAATCTAGTGCCCCCAACCACTACTTCACCTGCCGGCCCCAGCTCTTTAGTTTTTGTTTTCCATATTGCTAAGACTCAAAAAGAGTGTCTTAAGTGGTTTTTCAGATCCGAAGATGTGATGAACCCAGTGGTATGACCTGCCTTGAGCTTTGGACACAGAGGAGGTAGTGGGAGTATGGAGAAAGTTTTTGAAAACTCCTTTTTCCTAAGAAAAAGTGGCAAATGGTGTTTTATATTATTATGTAGCTCTTTTGTTTTGTTTTGTTTTGTTTTATAAAGGCATAAATAACTCTTCCTTTGACTCAAGATACTTACATGAATGTTTTTTATTCTAGCTGATACACTAAGATGAAAAGACTAGAGATTAGTAACATTCTCCAGTGGGAACTGGACTTTCTTATTATGGAATAGTCCTCAGCAGTAGTTCTCCATAACTTGTAGTTTGGTTATTATAGATATAGATGAAAGTCAAGATCTGAAATACCTCAAAATAAGAAAGATAGTTCTAATAAAAAGTATGGATAATAAAAGGTAGAGTAAAAAGGGTAGGTGTTGAGTTGAATGCTATGCCAGATAAGATGGTCCAGGAAGACTTTTAAATAGGTGATATCCTAGAAAGTTGTTTTGCCTTGTTAAAGGTTTTTAACAGACATCTTCATGGCTTTATTAATTATTAATTAACCTAGAATTTGATTTAATACAAAATTTTACCACAAAGAATATGTTCTATAAGCTTACTTTGAAAGCTGAAAGATGGATTTTCATTTAAAAATTGAATGATACATCTTTAGAGAGTGGGTTTTTTCAACTCATTCTACCATTTTTTTTTTTAATACTTTTTTTTGGAGAGGTTTTTGCTATAGGGCATGTGCGCTCGCCGCCAGCCAGAGAGAGACAGAGAGACAGAAAGCAAGAAATCACCCCCCGGGGGGATGGCCACACCACAATCCCTTCTCCTCCATTCTCCTCTCGTGATCTTGGGCACGCACGCACACGTGCCTGGTGTGAGTTTAAGCCACTGAGTCCAGGACTCAAACCATGGTTGACTACATGGGAGTCCAGCGACATAGCCATTATGCCAACTGCTGGTCCTTCATTCTCCCATTTTTTAATAGGGCTGATCATCTTTTTTCCAAACAGTTGCTTGAGTTCCTTGTGAATTCTGGTTATCAGTCCCTTATCTGATGCATAATTTACAAAAATATTTTCCCATTCTGAGGGCTGTTGATTCACACTAATTACTGAATAGCCAAAAGGCATATGAAAAAAATGCTCAACATCCCTCATCATAAGGGAAATCCAGATCAAAACAACAATGAGATACCATTTAACCCCAGTTGGAATGTCTAAGATTTAAAAAAAAAAAAAAAAAGATAAGTGTTGGCAGGGGTGTGTGGTGAAAGGGGAACTCTCTTACACTGCTGGTGGAAATGTAAATTAGTACAGCCATTGTGGAGAACAATTTGGAGATTCCTCAAAAGCCTACAAATAGAACTACCATATGATCCAGCAATCCCACTTCTTGATATCTACCCAAAGGACAGAAGAATTCATTCGGAAAAGTGCTTGCACATCGATGTTTATTGCGGCGCTATTCACAATTGCTAAGATATGGAACCAACCCAGATGCCCCCATACAGATGAATGGATTGGAAAACTGTAGCACATATACTCTATGAAATACTATTCAGCCATAAAAACAAAACAAAACAAAAACAACAACAACAACAACAAAACTCTGACTTTTGACAGAAAGTGGAAGAATATGGAAGATTTACTGCTGAGTGAAGCAAGCTAGGCTTTGAAGGAGAGACATTGTATATCCCCACTTAATATATACCAAATGTCTGCACTCTATGACTGAAACTGAATGGCTAAAGGATGTACAAACACAAGAGATGGGTGTGAATGCCAGATGTGTGTGTGGAGGAGTGGCACCTGGGGAAGGACATTTGGAGGAGGAATACGGAGACAGAGCACTGATGGGACGGGGAGGTAGTTATGTTATCTGTTGAAGATATTTTGATCAGCTAGATTGGAAAGAAATGTTCACATATTGAAATGTACTTTGTAAGTTAAATAATGTAACTGAATGTATAGAAAATAAAATAAATTATTAGAAAAAAATGAATGATACAAAGGACATATTCTTGCTTTAAGCAAACCTGAGAAATGACTATTGCAATTTTTATAGAACAGTATTTTTATGGATACTTATTTTCCTTATTGTCTTTTTAAAATTTTTTTAAATGTCCAGATGGTGTTTATGCTTGCCAGAAAGAGGGTGGGAGTAGAGATGGTCACACGACCGTTCCTCCTTAATTTTTCCATCCTCCTGAGAATTTGGGCATGCACACACATGCACCTGGGGTATTTTTCAAACCACTGAGCTTGGGATTCAAACTGGCCTTGCAGGATCCAGCTCCCTTTAACCACTGGCTATGGGGCTGGCCCTTCCTTAACATCCTATTTCCCTTTCAGGCTCTTAACATCTAAGACTGTATATTTACATAGTTTCCTTGCCTCAGGATTCTTCTCTTCCTCCATGCCATCCTACTTTCTATTAGGGAATTGATCTTTCTAAAATAATTTTTTTATCACGTTTTTTCCCTCTTTAAGAATCTTCTCTAATGAGGGCCTGGCAGGTGGTGTGGTGGTTAAAGGCACTGGACTCCCACATGGCTGACCCTGGTTCAAGTCCTGGACCTGGTGGCTTACTTTCTCACTTTCTCTCTCTCTCTCTCATTCTCTTCCTCTCTGGTCAAATTAAAAAAGAAATAAAAGTTAAATAAAAACACTTCTAAAAAGAAAAGAGAATCTTCACTAATGTCCTGTTGCCAGTCAAGTTGAGTCTTAGGGCTTCTTGCTTGGAATTTAAAATCTTCTACAATCACCTGACTTTGTAATTTATGTACAGAGAACTCTTTAGTTATATATAATAGAAAGGAGTTTATGTGTAGTATATTTTGTGTAAAATTTTAACATTTCCTTAAAAACAGAATAAATGATCACCATTATGATGCTGTAATTAGTGGATGAAAGTATAATGGAAAACATGATATTTATGTAGCTTGAGTGTTTCCCCACAAGATCATTTCAACAGGAGATGTAGAGTCCTTATTCTAGAGAAACCTAGCAGATACTACCTGATCAAATGATGAAAGTGAACATTACTAGACGTGAGACATGGCTATAGCATGTGCCTCCAGATGTGATGCACTGAGGAAGGCACGGTCACGTCTCTGGAATTCCTGCCAAAATATATGACCTGCATTTGTTCATGAGAAACCATGTACAGACCCAAATTGAGGGACATTCTGAGAAAAATTGACCAGTGTCTTTCAAAGTGTCATAGTCATAAAAGTCAAAGACAGACTGAGGAAATATGCGTCTTCAAAGAAGACTGAGGAGACCTGATGGCTGTATGTAGTGGGTGGTTCTGCATTTGATCCCTGACCAGGAAAGAGAGTATCAGTGGGACAATTGTCAAAATTTGAATAAGGTCTTTGTATTCATAGTGTTAACTGATGGATTTAGAAACTTAGGTAAAGACTGTGGTTAGGTAAGTGCTGATATGAATGTGGGGTGAAGAAAATTCTTGTTACTGCTTTTGCAACTTTTTTGTAAGTCTAAAATAATTTTACAGTGGAAAGCTAAAAACATTAAAAAGCCCATTTTAACATAGCTATTTAACATGTTAATGAATGAATAGGTGAAAGAAAATTTTAGGTACTAAAGAACTATGTAGTCCCTTGTTTTTGCAGGGTTACCCAGATTTTATTCATGTCCCTGTGATTGATTTCTTTTCCCTTTTTTTCCACAGCGTGTCATGATGATGTAGTTAAGATTGTGAATTTAGCGTGCAAATATAACCTTTGTATCATACCAATTGGTGGTAGGTATTATGTCTTTTGAATTTCAATATCTAAAATTAATATATTCATTTTAATACATAAATTATTCTATTTAAAATATTTGTATCATCCCACCGATAATAAATGTTCTTAGAATTATGATGTAGTTCTTTTTAAAAACTGACTTATGGTGCTCATTTCTATTATAAGTAGGTCTGCCTAAACTGTTTTGAGATGTGGTATTTCCTTAATTCATGGCTTCTTCCCATATGGATCATAGTTGAAGCTATGAGTAATGTCTAAGTAAGGCAATGTTTCTGTCTTTTTTTTTTGAGAGGTTTTTTTGCTATAGGGCACGTGCGCTCGCCAGACAGACAGAGAGAGACAGAGAGACAGGAAGCGAGAAATCACCCCCCAGGGGGGATGGTCACGCCGCAATCCCTTCTCCTCCAATCTCCTCTGGGCATCTTGGGCACGCACACACACGTGCCCAGCGTGAGTTTAAGCCACCGGATCCGGGACTCAAACCGCGGTCGACTACGTGGGAATCCGACAACATAGCCATTGCGCTAACTGCTGGTCCCAGGCAATGTTTCTGTCTTGGTATTTATTTTCCAACATGTATGTTTATGAAGATGATTTTTTTCCCCTCAAAGGCTAAGGATAAATATATCCAGTATAAACCTTTAAGAAACAGAATGTTCTTTGCAGAGTAAAGGATCAACCAGTAAAATGATAACTAAATGAGTATCTTTTAATATGTGGAAAACTGACATTGCTTTATATTTTAAGATGAATTTGATCTCTTTTGATTTTTTATTGACTACGTTGTTTTAATAATTTACATAAGCCAAAGGAAATTATTGTCCCTGACCAAATTAACATTGATGGAATGGAAATGGGACCCTAACAATTTCAGAAGTCTTGGATTCCCTGTTCAGCTAATATTTTCTGTTGAATTCATGCAAAATAAAGGCAGTACGTGTCATTTATTATGAAATGGTATGATATTTAATGATTATGACCAGCAAGTAGTGTGGTTACGGATTGTAGACATCATGTTCTTTTTTTTTTTTTTTTTTGGAGAGGTTTTTGCTATAGGGGCATGTGCATTCACCAGAAAGAGAGAGACAGAGAGACAGCAAGAAATCAACCTCCTGGGGGGATGGCCATGCTGCAGTCCCTTCTCCATTCTCCTCTTGGGATCTCGGGCACACATGTACACTTGCCTGGCGTGAGTTTAAGCTACTGAGTCTGGGACTTGAACCATGGTCGACTACCTGGGAGTCCAGTGACATAGCCATTATGCCAACTGCTGGTCCCCATCACGTTTTTAACTGATGGTTCATGGTCTCACCTTAAGGGTAAGTGAAAATGATAGATCAGCATCCCCTCTACTTTTTGTGTAAGATGACTTCTACGTATTTTCTTCCATCTAAAGCATATGGAAGTTCCAATTAAGAAGGTACTATAATTACCATATGGTAATACAGATCTGATTAGGAACTGAGAACATTGTATTTTTTTTATTCCTATGAAGATGACATTCTTCCTTTGACAACAAATGTTAAAGGAAAGTAGAAGTATATTTAATACTTTCATGTGTTATTTATTACATGTTAAAATTACTTTTTCACAAAAGAACATGTAAATAAACTGGACACTTTAAACTTCTTTCTATTCTAATTAAGTCTTAGTGTATGAGAATAGAAGATATTATTTTGAATAATGAGTGAATCTTAAGTTAGAAAGGAGGTAATAATGTCTCTAATTATATAGATGGAACTTTTTTGTTTTAAGCTAGCGCGCCACAGTAGTCATTAGCTTAGACTCTTTCTAGTCATGTTTTTGGAGTTCCACAAATTACTAGGGGCTTCACTCAAGTGTGCCATTTCCAGGGGTTGGAGCCATAGCCCATTGCTTTCAGTTCCATAATATTGCTTCATTTTGTCATACAGCATGAAATAAAGGGGCATTTGCCTTTAGTATGTTAGCATTTGCAAATTGCATTTTGCAAAGTACAAGTATCACTTCTTTAACAGGACTGTCTGTGTATTCTATATTAGGGATTTGCCCTAGAAAGTTAGCTAAAAATAAAATATTTAAACATAAAGTTGTTGTTTCCTATTTTGGCAGGAGGAACAAGTGTTTCATATGGCCTGATGTGTCCTGCAGATGAGACAAGAACAATTATTTCTTTGGACACGTCACAAATGGTATATGACAATTTAATAAATATTTGAAGATAGTATCTGTTTAAAACTTTGTCTTTATGACCCTATCTTAGTTGTTATGGATAGATTATTTATTGTCCATTTTATCTTAAATGTATTTCATTATTGTAATTACCCTTGTCTTAGATCTCTACAAACTGAGTTCACTCTTTCACTCTACGGCATATGTTTTGATGCTGTTCTACCAGACTGACATGTGAAATTGATACTTTGGGAAACATGTATTGAAATATTGGCACACTAAGTGTCCTAATTTGTAGTATTAAAATATAGAACAGATAATATTATTTAAGGTTAATTTGGATCACCAAAACTTGTTCACCAAATTTACAGAAATGGCATTGAGATTTTTAGAGGATAAATTGAAGACATAACTTATTTTAACGATAGAATTATTTTCTCTTTTTTAAGAATTTTTTTATTAAACTTTATTTATTTTTTAATTTGAACAGAGAGGGACAGAGAGACAGAGAGTAAGCCACCAGATCTGGGATTCAAACTGCAGTCAGCCATGTGAGAGTCCAGCACCCTCAACCACCATGCCACCTACCAGCCCCTCTGATAGAATTACTTTCTAAAGTTTTTGCTCATTATGGTCCAAGATTTGGACAGTGTGTCATGTTAAGGTCTTTTGTTTTTTAGATTTTTGCCATAGGACATGTACACTTGCTGGAGAAAGAGGGAAAGTGAGAAACCACACCTCTCATCTCTCTGCTAGGAGGATGGCCATGCCATCCCCATCAACCTTTTTCGTTCCATCCCTTCTCTTCCGTTTCCTCTCAGAATTTTGGGAACGCATACACACATGCCTGATGTGATTCTTAAGTCGCTGGGTCCAGGACTTGAATAGTGCTCAGCCATATGGGAATTCAGTGCCTTAACCACCATACCACCTGCTGGCACCCCACCCTGTTAAGGCAACTGTACCAAGTTTCAATATTAGCATGACTTTTATCTACGTATATTCAACAGTATTCCTGGTTACATATTTCTTAATTATAAGAAGAAATTTTTTAAATGTTTTAAGTTGAGAATTTTTTCATACACCAAAGTAGAGAGAGTAGAATACCCATACCTTTAATTAAATAGCTATTAGTATTTTGTCATATTGTCATACTTGGCGAGACCAACAGTTGGCATAATGGCTATGTTGCTGGACTCCCATGTAGTCGACCGCAGTTGGAGTCCCAGACCTGATGACTTAAATTCATGCCGGGTGCATGTGCGTGCATACCCAAGATCCGGAGAGGAGAATGGAGGAAAGGGGATGGCAGTGTGGCCATCCCCCTGGGGGGTGATTTCTCGCTTTCTGTCTGTTTACCTCTGTCTTCCTGGTGACGCATGTGCCCTATAGCAAAAACCTCTCTCAAAAAAAAAAAAAAAATATATAGTTATACTTGGCATGATCTTTTTTTTTTTCTTTTAGTAATTTCTTAAAGCTTTTCCTTTCCTTTTCTTTTCTTTTTTTTTTTTAATTTTGAGAGAGAGAGAGAAAGACAAATACCTTAAGTACCTCAACAAGGTCTTGTGCCGTGATTCTGCCCCCATCCCAGTTTTCTCAGCCATCCAGGCTTATGAGTGCCCATGCCAGGTCTGTACAGGTTGACCAGGGGAACTGGACCTGAATCTTCCTGTGTGTCTGACTGTGCTATTGAGCCAACCCTTTTCTCTAGTATTTTAAAAGTAAATCCTGGTGTTAACAGTATTTTACACCTAAATATTTCTGTGTATCTCTTTTTAAAAAAGGACATTTTCTCATGTAACTACTAGATTGTTACCACTTAGGAAAAATCATAAGTAATCTCATATATTACCAATATGCAGTTTACAATTTTTTAATTATCTCAAAAATCCCTTTATTTTACAGTTTATTTTTTCAAATGAAATCCAGAGAAGGCTCATGTTAACTTTCAGTTGTTTCACCTTACCTAAAAGCCTCCTGTCCCACATTATTTTTTGTTTTATTTTGTTTTGTTTTGTTCTGTTACTGGCTTTTGAAGAAACTAGGTTATTTATGGTACAGAATGGCATATTTTGACTTCATTGTTTGTTTTTGGTGTTATGTTACTCTTTCTCTAGATCTTATATATCCTCTGAACTAGTTTTCATATGTGAAGTCTAGTTAAGTTAGATTCAGGCATAGCTCTTTTTGTTTGTTGTAAGTATTCTTGCTTACAGTACCTTATAGATAATGATTTGTTTTTCTTTTTATAAAAGGTATTATTTATTTAATTCCATTTATTATTGTTATTTTAATTTGACCAGACAGAGACAGAGATAAAGGGAAAGTGAGAAAGCAAGCTGGCAGGTCTAGGATTCGAACCATGGTTGGCCATGTGGGAGTCTAGTGCTTCTAAGTACTAGGCCACATGTTGGCCCGATATGTTTTTCTTTAATGGTGCTCTTAATCAGGAGGGGAGGTATGTGATGGCTAGTTACCCCACTTTAATGTTGCTAAAATTGATCAGTAAGTTCTGATATGACACTTGATTGTTCCCCATCAACCTTTCTTTTCATTTCAAAGTTAAAAAAAGTCAATTTCCCCAGAAGATAGTTTAAGAATAGCCTATTTTGAAAATGGAATCTGTTTGGATTTCCAGTGGTTTACCTTACTTTGTGCATATTTACCTCTAAATCAGTCACTGCATGTGTAAATAGAACAGTAATAAGTACTACAGAATGTTATTGTGAAGATTAATGGAAATAATGTAGGTAATGGTGTTGACACAGAATTTTGTTTATGTTTTTCCTTCTGTTTATACGCCACAGAGTGTGTGCACTTGCCAGAGACAGACAGAGTCAATAAGAGAGGGAGAGGAAGAAAGCATTTCCTATGTGACATAATGTCACAGTTTCTTCTTCTCCATTTCTTCTTCCATCAGGATTTTGGGTATATGCATATATGTGTTCGGTGTGTTTTTCAAGCTGCCAGGACTGGGATTCCCACTGCAGTCAGCCCTGTGGGATCTGGCACCCTTAATCACTTGGCCATGGACCATCACCATATTGAGCAAAAATTTAAATGCCAGATTTCCAACCATTTATTTTATAAAGAAGACTTATCCTTTATCCTTGAACTATCTCAGATATTATGATGGATGGGGATGCTTATAGCTGATTCACATTGAAGTCAGTAAGCCATGTCTGCATGTGATTTTGTACATTGTACTTCTGATAGACTATGTAGAAAATATGAAGAGAATTAGTCGTACCAGTTTCCTACTTACATACAGTAATGCTTTTTTTCGTATTTTCTTATTAACTTGGGTTGGGTAGAGTACACTGGATATGTTCTCTGTAGCTTTTTTGTTTGTTTTCTTGTTTGTGTACCCATAGTTTGTTTTCTTCTTTGCCTCTTTTTTTTTTTTTTTTTTTTTAAACTTGTTGGAGGGTATATGTGCTCAGCTGGTGGGTTCGGGGAGAGAGAAAGGGGCAGAGAAAGAGAAAGAATGCAAGAAAGCATCTCCCATGGGGTATGGTCATGCTACATTCCCTTTTCCATTTCTCCCTTTGAGATTTTGAGCACTCAGACACATATGCCCAGCATGTTTCTCAAGATGCCAGGTCTGGGACTTGAACTTGAGTTGACCATGTGAGATTCAACTACTCTAACCACTGAGCCATAGACTTTCCCGTCTTTGCCTTTTAAAAATTTTTTTTATCTACCAAAAATTTTGCTTAGGGGGCTAGTAGATGGCATAGTGGTTACATTGTTGAACTCCCACATGGCCGACCCAATGGCGAGTCCCAGACCCAATGGCTTGAAAATCCCACTGAGTGCATGTGTGTGTGCCTGTGTGCCCAAGATCCTGAGAGGAGAATGGAGGAGAATGGATTGAGGCTTGGCCATTCCGTTTGGAGGGGCGTTTCTCACTTTCCCTCTCACCGTCTGTCTCTTCTCCCTGGCAAGCCTATGCACCCTAAGGCAAAAACCTCTTTTAAAACAAAGAGAGAGAGAGAGAGACCGACCGACCTGCCCTTGGTAGGAACAAGATATGTATTCAGCACAAGTATGTAACTGTTTGAGGAGCCGGTTTATTGGGGGGAGAAGATATATATAAATTACTATAATAGGAGATACTATATGATTAATAAATTCTTTGTCTTTTTACTCTATAGTAATAATATTAACTTTTGTTTAACTGCCATAGAACCAGTCAAAACCTGATTATACCATAGTTATATTGAAATCACTGTTGAACTATAGTGAAAGTATGATGACTTTATATAACATAAAACAAGAAATAATTCCTATAAATTGTCTTACTTAATTTTTATCATAACCCAATGAATTAAGCAGGATAGTTAATTTTTAGTATTCAAATTTAGAATTTAGGCAGAAACTGCTATTTTTGCCTTGTCTATTGTATTCTTTTTTTTTTATTATTAACTAGAGTTATCTGCATTAGATATTGTTCGAAATTGGCCATAGAAAGAAAGCTTGCCTAGGATCCAGAAGAAGATTCTCTGTATTACCTAATTACTTAGCCAAATAGAGGGGAGAAAAGAAGTCTGCTATTGATACTAGAAAATATTTCATGAAGATACATAAGTGTACATAAAAATTAGGTCAATTAAGAATGTTAAAAAGCATTTTTTTTTTGAGAGGTTTTTGCTATAGGGTGCGTGCACTCGCCAGAGAGACAGAGAGACAGAAAGCGAGAAATCACCTCCCAGGGGGGATGGCCACGCCGCAATCCCTTCTCCATTCTCTTCTCGGGATCTTGGGCGTGCATGCACACGCGACCGGCGTGATAAACCACCGGATCCAGGACTTGAACCGTGGTCGACTACATGGGAGTCTAGCGACGACATAGCCATTATGCTAACTGCTGGTCCCTAAAAAGCATTTTTTATTGGCACTCATACATTTAGTAAATTGAGCTAGAGGATATTGTTTCTTCTTTTGAATGTGAGTCAGGGGTATGCTTTGTTTTCTGCATGGGGTCTCTAGTCCTGTTTCAGGTCGAAAATGAAGCTGAAATGCCATTTACTATATTGGATTTCTTTGCAGTTATCTTTTTCTAATCTTACGGGCATTTTCTGGTATTCTTAAATTAGATATGATTACTCTGTTAACAGTACAATGGAGAGTATATGCAGAGTGTCAGGACCTGTATTTGCCAAGTTTTTAATGTAGAGTATCTCATTTAATCCTCTGACAACCTTATGAAAATACATTATTACTGACGACATTTTACAATAAAGAAGCACTAAACTTAGTTGAATAAGGTAAGAGGTAAAGTTTAATTCAAATTAATATCTGAAAAAATGATGGAGTCTAAAATTTAAAACAATTTCTACATAATATACTGTCTATAACTGTCTATATACTATTACTGTATCTATCATGTTGTATAGTCAGGGATAAATGGAACTGGTTTTTATTGTGGGTGGTTTGAAATAACCCTATTTGTTTAATTACTATCTTGTTACTGGTTGATTGAATTAGAATGTTACATTTTCTTAGAAAATGTCAGTTCATGGAGATCAGACTTTTTTCTTTTTTTGCAACAGAATCGAATTCTCTGGATTGATGAGAATAATTTGACAGCCCATGTAGAGGCTGGCATAACAGGACAAGAATTGGAAAGACAGGTATGTTATTTCTTTAATTAAAGTTCTCAAAACTGGTATGTCCCCTCTCCGAATGAAGTACCTTTAACAATACGTTTATTCACTCTATAAATTTGTTCCATTTTTATTTTGGGTCAGGTTGAGCTAGAAGTTGTGAGTCATCAAATGGGGCTAGGACAAAAGAAGAAATAACAGAAGATATGTCACTTAAAATTAGACTTTAGGATGACTTATAGGTAGCATAAAAGGTGGCTTGAAAATTATGCTGGGTGTGCATGTGTGCATGCCCAAAGTCCTGAGAGGAGAAATGAGAAGGTTTGCAGTGTGGTCATCTCAGAAGGATGATTTCTCACTCCCCCTCCTCATCTTTATATCTCAGTGGCTAGCGCACACACCCTGTAGCAAAAACTAAAAAAAGAGAAAAAAAAAAAGATGAAGATGGACAGAACAATCCAGTTAGGGGATCAGGGGAAGGAGCATGTGCAGAGGCTTTACGGGTGATGTTACTTTTGGGGAACTGCAGATAGCGGACTATGACTGAAGTCTTATGCGTGTTTATGGGAGAATACACATTTTTGATGTTTATGTATAGGGTAGGAATGGGGATAGTAGTAGTAAAAGACAAATCCAGGAAAATATTAGAGGTCAGCTTATAGAGGGGTTTTTAAATTCCCTTTTAGAAGTTTTAAGTACCTTTGTACTTGGATCACTCTTGCTACTGTGTGGAGGGTAAATGGGTCATGTAAGAGCAGGTTGTAATAATCAAGACTGCTGTAATATTTTAGTCAAGGGCTGATAGAGACCTGAAATAAAGTAATAGCAGTGGAATAACATGAAATAGATTGCAATTAGAATTCTCAGGTGAGGTGGTAAGTTGTAACAGCTGTGTAAAAGGTATTTTGCTATTCAGTGAACTTTATCAATGTGTGATTTTGTTGAAAACTACTCATCTCATTGGTTAAATTCTTGGAGTCATTATACATTTTGGGGGGAATCTTAATGTAATTTTTTGAAAGCTTTAGTTTCCCTTCATGGATCTAAGCAGGTAATTGTTAAAATTATTTGAGTCCTTCAGCTTCCTCAAACATGGTAAAGATGACTCAGTTTTGTAAACAAAATTAGAAAGTTCAATTTGTCAAATCCAAGGGAAAGTCTTTTAATCTTTAGATAGCATGAAAAGTAGGACCGAGCATTTAAGCAATCCTTTTTATTTATTTATTTACTTCATTTTGTTAAGGTTTTTAACCACGGCACTCTGGAGAGGAGAGAGAGAGAGAGAAAGTGAGAAATCATTCCCTGGGTAGATGGCCATGCTGCAATCCCTTTCCCACCATATTCCTCCTGGGATTTTGCACACATGTATCTGGCCTGAATTTTAAGCCTCAGGGTCCCAAGAAGTGCAGTTAGCTATGTACGAGTCCAGCACTATAACCATTATGTCACCTGCTGGCCCCAAACAGTCATTTTTAAAAACTACGCCTGGTCCTGGGAGGCTTTCTAATATGTATGGTGATGGGTGGCCCTAATAGAAAGTATCACTAGATTAGGGACTTTAATACACTTTTACTTGTATTCATTATAGACAGAGAGGAAATGTATTTAAGAGGTATATAAGAAAAGAAAATGTGAAAGTTTTACAGGTAGAGGGATGGAATGGAATGTTTAATGTTGATGTCATAGAGAGACTAAATGGCTTTGCTGGCACTCAAAGCTCTCCTCACTTAGCTATTTTCTGAGACTTTAAGAGTATGACTGTAAAACTATTTTTCTCAACATACATACTAAATGAGTGATTTAGCCTCCAAATAGTGAAATTAAGGCTTCACACTAATTCCAGTGATACAGGTTTTATGTAAAACATTTTTAGAACTCTGGTTTTCAAATCCATGTTTAAATCTATGCTCACTTTTAAAATGTGCTAAATGGCGATCATCATTTTTTTCCCTTTCAGAGTAGAGTTGCTTTGGGGAGGAGAACTTACTCTGAATAAAAGTATTACTGGGGGGGGGCAGTTTTTGCCCATGTGAAGTACAGAACTAAAACACAAAATAAGACTGATCTTTATGGTTAACTCAGAAAGCACTTCCAAAATATGAGTGTGAATAGCAGCAATACTAGTAGTGTAAGTGTCTAGTACAGGAAAAACTGTTTATGATGAATAAAAGTATTTATGTTTTAAAATGTATTATAGTCACACTTTAAATAAGGCATTATTATTAGGTTCTCATATTCTAGTATAGAAGTTTTTACCATCTCTCACCTGATTTAGTCATTAAATTAAAAATTCTGTGCCAGTGTGTATATATATATATATATATATATATATATATATATATATGTTCAAATTCATACCATTTTAATATGTGGCAAGTGAACTTCATGCAAGTCAGCAACAATTCTGGTACTAAAAATTATGTTTCTTTTTTTTTTTTCTGTTACATAACCTGCTTAGTATTGAAAACCCTCTACTAAAGGGGTTTTCATAAGAAGAATGATATTATTGCTTACCCTTAAGGTATACAACCTGTGACATGAGATCTTTTTTAAGGGCTTTATGTACACTACTATATTGTAATTTTTTTCTAATTTTTTAAAGAGGGTAACAAAATTATGTTTATGTACTAATTCTGATCAGAAAAATAAGCTGGGAAAAAAGTTGATGGTATTCACTAGGTTTTAACTAAATGGAGCCAGTTCCTTATTGTACAGTAAGGATAAAATACTAACAATGTATATTCCATTAAAATTGTTATTTATTTCTAAATTGCCAAGAAAAATAAGCAACTTTGTACATTTGAAAAAAGAAAAAGGAAGTGAAATTTGTTGGCGACATAGTGACTGCTTTCTTTAACTTGGGTTATAGTGATTCCTCTCCCCTTAACAGGAATTCAAGAAAGATATGATGTGATTGTTGGTTTTGTTTTTATTATCTTTCTCCTTTTTAAAAATTTATTGAAGCTGGCCTACTTATGCCCAATTTTAGATGAAATTTAAAAAATATTATTAAACTTATATTTATTTTTTAATTCATTCAGTAAGATGCAGAGAATGGAATAAAGTTAAACCACATTTTGTAAGGCAATGTTAAAGATGTTCATTAAGTCAAATTTTATGTCAAAATAATTAGATTTGTTAATATAATTTGTACAGTGGGCATAAATAGTAGCAATTAATGAAAAATTTCTAAAATACCCCGTGTTAGCCTTCCATTAAGTCTGAATGAGACTTTATCAACATAGCATTTTTTTTTATTAAAAAAGAGTGGCCTTTTATGTCTCTAATTTTATATACTTTATTATAGCATTTGATGTAGTATTTTAACCTTTCCAAATTTTCTTTTTTTTAAAGGTTAGAATTAAAATTCAAGGAACATATTTTTGTGAAATTTAAATGAAATTTTCCTAGAGTAGGAACTTCTGATATTTTACCTACAAGTTCATTTCTGTAAATGCCAATAAGAAACTTTCTATTTTGCTTCTAGTAGGCTATAATGTAGTTTCTACATCTGTTTTGATCTCAGTGCAAGTTCTTCATTAAACTTCTGTATCCTTCAGTTTCTACTTTAGCCGAGGTAATTAGCTTGAAATGTCCTGCTTTTTCCTCGTATAACTTAAAAAATGACACAAATAAAGATAGCACAGATTTTAATCTCTTAAACTTATAAGTTACATTAATTTTAATATATATGAAATTTAAGGGAAGTCATTAGCATGTCAGTTATGGATTTGGGGAATATTTTTTTAAATATACTAAATCTTTGGTTACTTTATCACAATTCTTTGAGTATATATGACTCTAATAGTTTTTTTTTCTGCATTAGTAATTACTTCACATGATCTTTATTTTTTCTTTTTTTAAGAGAGATTATAGGATGTGTGCCCTTGCCAGAGAGACAGAAAATGAGAAATATCCCCTGGGGGGGGGGAATTCCTTCTTCTCTGTTCTCTTCTTGAGATTTTGGGCACACCCACACACATACCTGATGTGAGTTTTAAGTCGCTGGGTCCAGGACTTGAACCACACTTGATTACATGGGAGTCTGTGGGTCTTACTGCAATATAAGCTCTTTTTCAAATATAGCTCCTAGCTGTGTGACCTTGGGTAGTTACTAACCTTTATACCTCAGTTTCTTCATCTATAAAAGGGAGATAATAATTCCTATTTCTTTCTTTTTTTCTCTTTTTCTTTTTTTAGAAGTTTTTGCTATAGGGTGTATGTGCTCGCCAGAAAGACAGAGAGAGACAGAGAGTGAGAAATCACCCCCCAGGGGGGATGGCCATGTCGCAATCCCTTCTCCTCCATTCTCTTTTCGGGATCTTGGGCACACACGCACAGGCACCTGGCGTGAGTTTAAGCCACCAGGTCTGGGACTCAAACTGTGGTCGATTACATGGGAGTCCAGCGACATAGCCATTATGTCAACTGCTGGTTCTATAATTCCTACTTCTTAATGTTTCTTTGTTAGGATGAAATAAATTAATACAGGTTAAGCATCTAATCCCAAAATCTGAAATCTCAAATGCTCCAAATCTGAAACACCTTGAGCACCGATATGATGTTGCAAGTGAAAAATCTTGTAACCTCATGTAATAGGTCACAGTCAAAATACTGCAAAACAAAAATATTACATAAAATTACCTTGAAGATATGTCTATAAATATATATGAAACATAAATGAATTCCACGTTTAGACTTGGTGTATCCCTAACATATCTCATTGTGTATATGTAGATATTACAAAATCTGAAAGAACCTAAGATCTAAAACATTTCTGACCCCAAGCATTTGTGATAAGGGATATTCATCTATAATGAAAAGTACTTAGAACCTTGATTCATTTCACTAATTTTTATTGTAAACTATCTGCTTCATTCAGGCTCATCTGACTGTAAATATTTCTTTTATGTGCTGAAGACTCTCAAATTTATGTCATAACCCCAGATTTCTTTCTCGAATTGATATATCCCATTGTCTAGTTGATGTCTCCAGTTGGATATCTAATAGACGTTTCAAACTCAACA